TATATATATAGCATCAGAAAATGTAATGTTTAAAAACAGGAAGTCAAATGAGCAGCTAAAGATCAGCATAAGGTTTTCACTTTTGCTTTGTCATTTTCTATTTTATTTCTGTTTAGTTTATGTGAAATTATTGGCTTTTAAGTTGCTTAATGGTCTTAGGTTTCAAATAATTTAATATCAAGATAAGTCAATTGCAGATGTTTTTCTTTTGCATACACAAAGAAATGCTGGCAGTGTTTTGTATTTTGACCCATGATAATGTTTTGACACTACATGCGTATAATCCCTGTGAGCAGCAGAAATGTTCAGAGAAATGACTGAGAATCGTCACGTTGATCATCATCAAAGATGCCAGATTTATCAAGAACACATCTTTGAAAATCACATCCCAGAAAATGTGATGCGTGAGGTGATTTTAAGAAAATGACACATTCTTCCAAACCTTGAGAAACCCGTCTCCTTAAATTAGTCATTTTATTTTTAATTATTTATTTTTACACAAAACGTGTTGTACCACAKTTCATTGTCACCATTTCTCGACTCACCAGTTGCTTGGCAACCTACTCCTCCTTGAAACAAATTCAGTTGCTCATGTCTTTACAATTACAGGCTCTTTTACAGTATTTAGCGAACAAACAAAATCAAACAATAGAACGACAGGAATTAATAAGTCTGGTGTGATGCCATTAGATTTGGTTATGCACAGCATTGATTATAGATGTGAAGGRTTTTCAGATTTATATATGTACTCAGATGTGGATGTCTAATGAATATATTGCTGTGTTTGGTCATTTAACAAGTGATTTCTCCAGCCAGGTGTTGGGTTCATCCCCTTGCAGGCAGGCAGAGTTCCTGAATGAGATGGGCCTCTCTGGGCTCGAGGAAAAACCAGGCTGTTCACAAAAAGACCTGCAGGATAATGAAACATCTGTGAGCCATTTATAGGTGTGAAAAACTAATCATTTTTATGCCCGTTAGAATTGCATGCTGGGGAGTTTGGGATCAGACTTAAATTGAACTGTCAGAAAGAAAAGAAAACCTTTCAAGATACAACAGTCGTGTCCTTTTTTTGTTGTGTTTAAACCAGCCTAATTACCAAGTGGAGTAATTAGTTAATGTCATGCAGTCATTAATTAAAGCTGTGACCTTCACTGTATTTCTGGCTGCAGAGGGACCGTGACGTCTGCATCTGATCGTCATTTAATGTGAACTTTTTATTGCACCCTTTAATATTTTTTAGGAGATTAGAATGAGGACATTTGTTGGCTTGAACATTTGATGATGATTCATTATTGTTACCTATTAAAGGGGGGTATTATGTTATTTCCAAGCATAATCAAAAACTGTTACCTAAATTTGTTGTGAAAATGCTGTCAAAAATAAATTTGCATCATAGTCTTAAAATGGCAGCCTTGTTACATCCTCACCCAGGTCTGGTCTCCTGCAGAATGAGTCTCTCTGGCTGGAGTCAGAAGAAGCTGACGTACTGTCTGTGGAGTTGGACTTGACCGATCGAACCGATGGTATCGCTGCTCTCTGAGGCTTTTCTCTGGGTTTTGGAAGGGCTCCCACTGATCCTGAATTGCTCCACTCTGAACAAGGATATCACAGTTAGCAAAAGTCAATCCTAGAGTTGCATTTATGATCGACTTCATTGTTGTGAAGTCACCACATTACAAGATAACCCAGAGCAAACTAATTCAGGTGAACATGTGTTTGATGGAAGCTAGGATTAGGGAGTATTGATTTCGTACTGACGACATCTTGAAATAATACTGCGGTAAAGGTACCATGGTGGGGCATGTTAAGTTATTTTCTCCCCCTCTTGCCATTTTTCCAAAACCACAAAACTTCATTCAAATTTACGGTTATGGTGAGTGGGTTTGGATAAAGAATCCATGAGCGGAGGCCTCGTAAGTGGGCCCATTGCTCTCCCCAAAAACACAGTGGTCTGTATTCAAACCTTCGCATTCATAAAGGACAATGTTAGAAACACTGTTTTGAGCTTCTCRGGATCCATAAAAGGTTCTCCAATAATTCTTTTCCTGTGACTACTCAGAGCCAGGCAGTGGTCTAAGTAGTGCAAAGAGGTCTCTAATTCAGTGCCACAGGCATCACACAGACTATTGCCATGGAATCCCATCACCATTTTGTGGCAGTTGAGTAGATTATGTCCAGTTAGGACTCCAACCAGTGTGCTTAAAGTTTTCCTTGTCAGGGTGATGAGAACTTTCCCAAACCTTAGATTTTGGCCGTTAATCAGTTCCCATGCCTGTCTACAGTCCGTCAGCTCCCTTCAGCAGATTGAGTGTTGACGTCTGATCCAGGTCTGATTCTGATGTCCTGGTACCCATTTAACAGTAACACTGTTATCTCTCCCCAGTTGGTTGACTGCTTCAGCACACTCATTCAGCTTTTCATCTTTATTTTCTTCATCATGTAGATTTTTTGGCACTTGTCATATAACTTTGGGTCTCAGAAAGGAGATCAGGGGGATTATGTTTTTTGGCTCGAGTGATGGACCAGTTATGTGGCTAGGCTCCAGAGGGTTAATATACCATCATAATTTTTAAATACTGCCACCATATTTCAATACCGAGGTATACCACAATACCGACATACCGCCCAATCTTAATGGAATCAGGTATCCCAAAAGTGGCCTATCTAATGTGGTAAAGTAGTGTTAGTACCAGAGTGTTCCTCAAGACGAAAGCGTCCAAAACAAAGCTGGCTCCTCCACTGTTTCCTGACGTTCTCCTTCATCAGACAGTGGAACAGGAAAACAAAAAGWCCTGTAATAAAAGAAAAAGTAAAATAATGCTATCTTTATTCAACTGTTGCTGTTTGCCAAACATGGTAAATTAATCACAAAGCTGCCCTGTTCTCTTGAGTTGGTTCACTTTGGGTAAACATGTTTCCTCCATAATAGCATGATGACCAAACAGACTGACTTAATTTGAGTGATGTTGCACAGTGCCCTCTGTCTTACAAATACAGATACATTTTTGCCAGGAGTTACCAAAATGTCCACTGTAGAAAAGGAATAAATGCAGAGCAACCTTGCAGGGTGTTCAGTCCAGAGAACAGGTAGAGCAGAATTATCCTCACTGGTCCCCAGGTGAAGAAGCCAACTGTCCAAGTTAGTCCAAGTAAAAAGGTGAGACTGGCAACTCCCTTCAGGTCCTGCATGAGTCCTCTCCGGGTTCCTGCGGGGCTGTTGACTCTCATGTGACGGATCTGAATCAGAACCACCACAAAAATCTAAAACGAGATCCAAAAGAAATGAATAAGGAAGTTCAGTCACAGCTAAACAATAAGAGGTTTAAACTAGTTAAGTTTCCAAAAATAAGAGACCATTTAGAATAGGGTTTGAAACAAATGTGCTACTGATTTGCTTTTTGGGGACAAAAAGTTTTCTGACTCTAAATCTACTTTGTGCAGTACTACATACAGAACCTGGGCTCTCTTCAGTTTGTAAAATAAGAATATGCTAAATCATATCCTGTTAAAAACAAATATTGAATTAGCATCAAAAAGAAAAAATCAGTAGGTCCTCTGGATGGGTTTTTCTTTAGTGAAACATTTCATCTCTTGTCCAAGATACTTCGTCAGTCTGATGAGTTTCAGGTGAACTCAGCCTTATAAGCACTGCCTCCACATGGACAAACAGGTTAGTCACATGCAAAAGAGGGCCATCGCTTAACAATAGGCTTGATTAGCTCTACTTTTCATTGAGGGTCATGAGCCCCATCACCTGACTTATTGGTTTGGATGTTGTGGTTCTTGGGTGTCGTGTCATGTGTATGTAGTGAATGCAGGCGGGGCTCAACGTCCCCTTGTTTTTGTCTTTTTCCCCCTCTTTGTGTTGTTTATCGTTGGGGCCCTGATTCACACCTTTTGCTCACAGGGGGCTGAGTCATACTTGCAATAACAGCGTTGTAGGAGGAGGACAACTGGACACGAAGGCCTCCACCTCTGTTTAATGGTGGATGGTTTTTCTTTACAAGGATGGCTTCCTTTACTCCTCTCTCAAACCAACGTTCCTCTCTATCAAGGATGAGAACATCTTCATCCCTGAAAGAGTGACCGCTGGTCTGTAGATGAGTGTAAACTGCAGAGTCCTGACCTGTAGATGAGTGTAAACTGCAGAGTCCTGACCTGTAGATGAGTGTAAACTGCAGAGTCCTGACCCGATGAAGTAGCTCATCTGTGCTGGCTCATTCTTTTGAACAGTGGCTGTTTTGTTTCCACAATGTATAACTGATCACAGTCCTCCTGACACTTAACAGCATTTATGAACAAAGAGACGTCGAGCCCCGTCTGCACTCATTACATACACATAACACATCAATCAAGCCTATTGTTAGGCGATGGCCCTCTTTTGCATGTGACTAACCTGTTTGTCCAGGTGGAGGCAGTGCTTATAAGGCTGAGTTCACYTGAAACTCATCAGACTGACGAAGTCTCTTGGATGAGAGACGAAACGTTTCACTAAAGAAGAACCCATCCAGAGGACCTACTTATTTTTTCTTTTTGATTTTTTTCTACCTGGATTACTGAGATGCATCAGGACATTGAATTAGCAGTTGTAATGTTTGTTTGAACTTTATTTAATTGGTTTAATGAAAACATTTACCCCAATGTTAAAGAGGAAGACTAGTGCAGCGTAGGCAACGACGGACACATAAAATGTCACATCATCCTGAAGCCAGCAGCTGAGGGAGTAAAGGGACAGAAAACATGCAGAAAGACGATGAAGAGATTGTTAAGGAATGTACTTACATGCCCTTATTGTACTGTTTATTTATAAATAATATATGAGAAGGGAAAAAAAGTCACTGATGATGAAGAAGCTAAACTAACATTCAGTTCTGTTTTCTACTGATATGGCTTAAAAGAAAGAAAAAAATTATGAGCTTGTAGAGGAAATTTAGCAATTATAACATTTTTGCATCCAGATTATTTTATAACCATTTTGTCATTATTGGCGTTGACTGAAATGTCTGTTTAAAAATAAAAAATAACTCAATATATATCATAAATACAGCTCAGGGCTCACAAGTTTTCAGAGTTGTCCAATGACTCTAAAGTGGTTTGGTTGTTTTTGTAGAGGTGACTGCCGTATGCGTCTTGGTTCACAATGTGCACTATGATGCAGATGACCAGAGGAATCCCTGCAGGAAGAGGTCAAACAAGTTATAATCTTAGTCATTTAAAATATAAAATACTAGTGTTTGAAACCCCCAACTGAAAATAAGTGATGCGAGAAAAGAAAAAACTTGCTTACCCCACCCCAGAATGCAGAACTTCAGGATATAGGATGGGACGTAGGCGTTGAATACTTTGATGAGTGCAAAATACATGTTAACGGCCTCTAATCCCATCCAGGTGAACGATGCCAAGAGGAAGTAGTGCAGTATAGATGCCACAGCCACACACAGGCCGTACACACCCCAGGAGGACAACCAAGAGTTGACCAGAAACACCAAATTCAAACCAAGCAGAGCCAAAGAGAGGTTGATTAGGATCTGTGAGGGGTAGTCTCTACGAAGCTTCCTGTGTCACACAAAAAGAGGTGAGCATAGTGGAGGAAGGAGAAAAAAAGTGAATATTCATCCTTATAATTCCAACAGAATGGGAAATGCTCATAATCGCTTGCATTGATAATTAAATGCACACACAAAAGACAGAAAATAGATCTTAGTCTTACTCAAATGCGGTGTAAGTGAGAACAGTGATACCCAAGAACAGAGACGAGATGCCGCAACCGATATAGGTGATAATGGTCAGGATCTGCTCATGAACCTGGTCCACCTGAGTCCTGGAGACATCCTGGACACACACTGATTAGTCAGCAGGATGTAAAGTGTATAATTTTTGTAATATTGCAGCTAATAATTGTTTTTGTTTCCTATGAAAGCTGACTTTGATTTACTGGCTGTTGCACTGAAGGATTTGTAAAAGCAGTCAAAATTACAAAGTGCTGATGAAGTTTGCTTGTAAAGTCTTTGACAGTTAGTGAAAAGCTTCACAAACCCCCGGAACACGATCTCTACAGAAATAGTTGCTGACATTAAACAGGAGCAAGATGAAGAAYATGGTTGGAAAAATCTGGGAAATGTCCCAGAAAACCTTCAGATGCTCTGTATAAATGGTACGCTGCCAGAAAWAAGATGACACGTTTTGCATTTGAAAATCTATTCTTAGCTATCAATTTAACACTTCAGTTTTCAAAGGAAAAAAGTGTTATATTGCTTGTATTTGTATATATATTTTTTGGATAACAGTATGGCTCTATTTGAGTCACAAAAACATGAGCAAGCTGTGCTGGAAATTGGATGTCATGGTCCTTTTTGGAAACTTGACAGTATTAAAGAATAAATTACTTTAACACATCCAAAATACAAAAAAAATACACTTGTGTTAGTAACAACAGCTGATAAAACGCCTCCGTATAAAATTCAACACTAAAAAAATACATGATAGCTGTATTTATTTATTTCAATGAATAAACTTTAAAGTTTTTGGTTGATTATTTATTAAAACTGATTTGCTATTGATGACAAAAGTAACATGTAAAGCAAAAACTGTGTGCAAACAATAAATAAACTTATTAAATAATTATGTGCATGACAGGCCTAGTGTAAAAGTCTCAGGAAAMGAGAAATGGTTCTTACCATCAGGACTCCAAAGTGTGTGAGATGGTCACACAGGCAGGTTGTGTAGTTGGAGCTGCTGTTGTACTTTCGGCAGCCGTAATTATCCCAACCTCCACGTCCATCTGGATATGGACATTGGCATTTATTATCAAAGTCCATTTATGATTATTTTTAATTTAATTAATACATTAAGCTAGGACCTACTGTTTTTATTGAAGTTCCAGTACACACACTCCACATCCATGTCATGCTGAGGACCAAGAAAGTCTCATTGATCAAATGACATATAATTTAGTCATCATATTGGTTAAAGTGTTGGCAGTATCCGATTAAAGACATACTCTGCTACCTTGTTAGGGTTAAGATGGTGGAGCGTGACTTTGACATCTTCAGTAAGGTCTTTGATTGGTGAGGTGGCGTTGGTCACACTTGCTGACACCACAAACGTGTTAAGAATCTGTCCTGGTTTTCTGCTCTGAGTGTTAAGTTAAAGTACAAGTGAAATATTGCACAAATATTTATCAGCATGAGTTCATTTTGGGGGGAAAAATGTTTTTTTATATATATAAATTTGTAAAAAGTAGTACTTTGAATAGGAGTTTGTTGGCGTAGAACTGAAACTGGATTCTAGCTGGGTTCTGGCCGTACTGTGGGAAGCTCTGCTGGAGGACGGACGGCAGAGAGATAAAAGCCACTGTGCCGTTGAAGGGATGCTGATTTATAAAAATCTACAACAGAAGCATCTGTTAAGTTTAGAGTAAATGCAGTGACAACTGTATTTTTTAAGATTTAGATCAGAACTTGCACATTTTTTAAAGAATTCTAGATTTATGTTGTGTTCACGTTAAAAAAAAACGCTGAATCTTAGTCTGACTGTTTATAACTGGTGAATTGGCACCATTTAACTCAAACTGCGTTACAGATTGAAAAGAAGTAGTGCAACCTCAGGGTTTGTCCCAGTCAGATCAGACAACACTCCAAAACTGAGGTTGTCAAACTCTCCAGGCTTGACATCCACCACTGAGATGGCGAGCTCTTCAGCAACAAGGGTGGAGGAGCCTTCGTAGCCCACTATCTTGTCTCCCACCGCCTCTGTAATGTTCAGAATGCTGGAGAGGAAGAAAGAGAGGACCTCAGTGCCCTGATGGGAGATTTGTTTGGGTTTCACTCTATATCACATTCATACGTTCAGTGCTGGACAATAAAAGCAATAGAAAGGCTCAATTGCAGTGATCAGTGCTACTACTCTGTTTACACTACGCTACCTACAACACAGTGGATATCTACACCAAAATGAGATCATCAGTGTTGAGTGAACAAGCATTCAGTTTAAAAAGAAGCGGACAAAGTAGAGATAGAAAAGACTGCTGTAATATAGTGGTTCAGGAATGGAAGGTCTGATAAAATTTGGCTTTCCGTCTGCAGCGGAAACGCATCAAATCTATTCCACCATTCGATAAAGTTCCACTTGATAGAAAGTGAATGAAAATGAAGCACCCTAAAAGTTTAAGCCCTCTTCCTAAAACATAACCATCTGTCAACATCTGTGTTGAGCAAAGTGAAACTGATTCAAGAAACAGTTGAACGGGAATGTCAGGTCATTTCGACATAAAATTGGTTACACCCCACTTACATTCCAGATATCTGAAATTGGTTTGACTAGACATAGTATTAACATATCTAATTATATTTTTACAGTGAAAATACCCATTTGAGATATCTTAAATGACATCAGGTTTATAGGTACAGTAAATATAAATTATATCTTATCGGCTGAAATTATGAGTTATACTGTGGTAGATATATGCTTTATTGTCCAGCCCTACGTACGTGTTTGTGAAAGGCTCCAGGTCACTGTCAGATCCCACTATGTCTGAAATGATGTTGATCAGAGCCTGACCGAGGTCTGGTGTGACCACGCTGACATTAATAATGTCCTTCAGCTTGTTGAGGACTGTGACCAGCTCGTTGTAGATGAGAGAAGAGTGGTTTCTCAGTAAATCCTTAATCATCTTCACCACATCGAATGAGTTTTCTGAAGAAAAATGACACAAATTTACAACTTTAGATATGACATTGACACGTTAAGGGTTGGTGAACAGTATCTTCAAAAAAATAGTTTTAAGCAGCTTTAAGTTATTTATCTTTTCTTAGCTGTGTACATAAAATAATCTGCCTCATAACAGTTTCATTCTTTTCTTCTTCAGTATTACTACATATTGCAGCATGTTGAGTAGGACATAATATTTTGGTGCCTTTTATTTTAATTAAGCTGGTGCCTTGTTGCCAAGTGGAAACATAAAAATTGGCAAATCTCAACTGAACTGAATGAGCTGATTAAAAAAACAAGCGGTCTAATTTGTAATGAAGCTGAATATAGAAAACATCTTGTGTTACTTACAAAACCACGTGGGCATGTAAAGTGTAAAGTTTAAAGCTAAATCATGAGTTGTAGACACAAATTCACAGACCAGGAGTGACTTCGATGTGGTCCAGATCAGGGATGGTTTCCACCACTGGAGGGCAGTCTTCCAGGTGTGGGTCCATCCAGTGGGTCAGCGAGGACAGTTTGCTATTGAACGGGTGGCAAACACAATGTCTTTTTAAACATTTTTTTTATTTGAAAATAGTTCACTTGTGTGGTTTTACTTTAAATCTGATTTTGAATGAGAAATAAAGCAGACAAAGCCTTGTAGTAAAGAAGAAAACTGAAACAGATTGGTGATGTTAATGAGGCTTAATGTGGTAATTATTTAACTAATTTATTAGCTTTTGTAGCGCAGCTATTATGGAGTGTTTTGACACAAAGTCAATACACAGACTCATGACCAAAGTTACAAAACCATAAAAATATGTACAAAAGGAAGTAATCAATACTCAGAGGCCTAATTGTTGAAGCAATAAATTAATGTTGGCAGTTTTACAGCCTAACGTACCTGTAAATATTAGAATGAATAGCAAATTTTTTTATGTGTTTTTATCTCTGACAATATATTGGTGACACAGAACAAAGTTTACTGAAAATATAGTTTGTGATACAGTTCTGTGCAGATCAGGGTATTTTTTTTTTTTTTACCAAATTCCAAGAATGTTTAAAGAGAAAATAGGACTTTAAAAAACAAGACTTTACTGAYACTGGTTACTTTAAAAATCTTTTATGATCAAGTAGTGTGTTTTCTACGGGTGTGATTTAGCACTCTGTCCTTGCCGATGGCTACTACTGCAGAACAAGTGTTATCTGTGAAAAGCAGGCTTCATTAACTCAGTTTTTCAACTTTGTCGAACAGCAGTCTCACCAGTGCCGTGTGGCATAGCGGCGAAGGTTTTTGGGGCACGCAAGAGTCACGTTTTTTCCTCCGGAAGTATCAGGCCACTTTAAGAGACCTTTTAATGTCTGCTGGGTGTGGCTTTTACACTTGACTATCACTGAAGAGAGTGGGAGATGGAAAGGATTGATTTTCAGTTTTTTTGTTTTGGTTTTTGCACCTCATTTGAAACTTAAACATACTCACATATGCGACATATCTGCACGTCATTCTCGGTTGCAATGGAGACTGACCCGTTGTTATAGGGCATCCGAAGATAATGTTTAATTTGCTCTTCCATTTCCTGTGTATCTGACAGAGGCTTCAAGACCTGGACCTGGAAAATAAAGCTCTCTCTGCAGACAGTAGCAATGTTAATAATGTAATGTATTAAGTAGGGCTGCACAATGTTATTGAAAACTTATTGTCACTGCAATATAGGGCTGTGTATTGGCAAGAATTTGGCGATACGATACATATCATGACAGAGGGGTCACGATACGATATATCCCAATATATTGCGATACTATAAGCAAGGCGATATATCGCGATTTTTTGGTCCAAAAACTCTGTTAAATAAAAACCTCTTACTGGGGGAAAAAAATGAAAAATCAAAATTCATTGTCTCAGAAAATTCTAATATTACAGAGACATGCTTTTGATACATTTAGCTGTGTTCTGCTTTGTATGTRTTTTATTTTATTTGTTTAATATTTCTTATTTCATCCATRTTTTCAATTATTAGACTAAATTTGMCAATAAATAGDTTGAAARTATATTTTTTGCAGCTTTTAGTTTTTAATATGAATTTACAATATGGTCACCCAACACTTAACAATGGCCTCTACCTCAAGAGGTAGAGTAGCCAAATGGCTGGCTCACTGCTGCCAACTAGTGGTCAGAGGCTGAACTACAACATAAAAATGAATGGCTGGCAGGAAAGTTGACATTTTAAACCTTAATAAAAAAACAATACAGGGCTTTAGAATATCGATACAGTATCGGGAAATGAAATATCGCGATGCTTCAATGTATCAATATTTTCTTACACCCCTACTGCAATATCAGTATTGCAAAGGACTGCATTGAATTGCAGAAAAAAACTGCCAATAATATATTTGACACTTTAGTGGAACCCCTTAAACTAATTGATCACAGCAAAAGAATTCAAAACATAAACAAGACATACTTTTTTTAAAAAGTGAGGAGAATGTGGGTTTATTTCAACCAATACTGCTGTATTGCAATTTCATGTTTTGCTAATACTGTGCAACCCTAATTTTAGATAAAACCAGTGAAAGGAAATGCTTATGTAATAACATTTAAGTTGCAAAATGATGTAAGATTTRAAAACAGACCTAAAATACACATAAATGCATTTATAATAAAAAAGTATGAACATCATGGTAGCTGAAGTCTTAATAAGCAACATTTGTAGGACACTTTTTTCGTACCTTGAAACTGCGTACGTAAACGTCCTTAAAGCTCTGTACATGAACGCCTGAGAAAGAATAGAAAGAAGTTTTTACAAAACATTTTATTTGAACACAAAACAGGATTGTCATTTAGCAAGAGTGTTGTCATCTGCTGCTATGAAATGTGGGTAATCCTGTGTCTCTTTTAGGAAAACATACCATTACTACTGGGTAGATTTTAATGAAATGCTCAATATAATCCATGGACGTTCAAGATTTTTTTTTATTTTATTAGCCTTTATTGTCCCGCAGAGGGAAATTAATTCTCTGCATTTTACTCATCACATATGTGAACACATGTGGCGCCACTGCCAATTACAGCGCAGTTAAGGGCCTTGCTCAGGGACCCAAAGTGGGGCTGGTTGGTTCAGGCAGTTGAACCGGCGACCTTTCAGACTCTTCTTCTCTAACTTCTTCACCACCACTCCCCCTGATTGTCCACCACAGCTCATTGAGTTTGGTAAACAAAAAATATCCATAAATCTGTCATCAAAACAGACATTTCAGTGTGAAAACGTCATGTGTAAGGCAGCGGGTAATCAGTGCAGTTGTTTTATTTGTATAGATTCTATAAATGTGCTCAAGTTGAAGCAGTATTTAACCAGTAAAATAGCTTTCAAAGATGTTTTATAAGTTTTTGTAAAAATCTCCCTACAACCTGTACTTCAAGTAAAAATCTGAAAGAGTTATCTGAACAGACGTGTGTTTTTTTGGAGTTAATTTTAAATTAATTGGTAATGGACATTTCATACCTGACTAGGTTTTTCAAGAAGTTCCTAAACCAGTAAAATTAAATCATTTTAAAGGGGCAATATTATGTGTTTCTCAGGCATACATTTAAATACTATATCATAATAAAGTATCTATGTCACCTTTAGTTGTTATTAAAATGCTGTTTTTATGTTTAAATAGAAAATAAACTTATCTTCTCATCACCTCCTCTTCTAAACGCCTTGAAATTGTGTTAGGAGCTCAGCAGACAGTTTCAGTTTCACTTTCAGTTTCACCCGTTGTTTGCTTTGTTACTGCCGAGAGCCTGCAGGAGTCATGGGCGGGGTGTGTGGGGAGGGAGGAAGCTCGGCTTAAAGACACGTCCCAGGGGCGTTTCTGGTCCCCACCTGTCGTTTTGCTCCTCAGCATGGTTTCCTTAAAAAACGCTGCAGGATTTCTCAAACATGCATGAATGAGTCAAAGCAAGGCTTTGGGTATAACATTATAACATGATATAAAACTCAAAAAAGTTGATTTTACATGATATTGCCCCTAAGTGACACAGCACACCAGAACCATTTTTTATTCTCAGAAAACTCACGTCAACTTACTTTATTTGGCGTTGAGTGATTTGGGTTCAGGTCAGTGTGGTGTCTGGAGGTAAGATAGGTACTTTCATAAGTAACTCATCCTAACACGAGTATAAGTTGTAATATTTCTTGAAACAGATTTATAGCAGAGTACCAGCTGCTGCTTTTCTCGTACCTTTCATCTTTGGGGAGCAGCTGCAAGTCCAGCACCATCATCAAGTCGTCAGGCAGACTAGTGTTTAGCTGTAAAGTGGATCTCAGCATGACTTTGTTTTTCTCTCRCGCTAAAATTCTACAAGAAAGCCTATACTCTTTTAGTTTCATTTGATGCATATAAATCTAGAAATCTTACCCAGATGGGGAGGATCTGTTGTGGGTCACAGTCTCCTGTTATGGATACGTTTCCAGTTACCTCAAAGTACAGTTCTAAGGGGGAGACTGAGACAAATCAAAAGTTTTTCTCAGGACATCTGTACAACTTGTGATACAGACAAAGAGTTCAGACTGACCCGAGGCATTTGCAGGTGTTTTAGTGAGGATGGTGTCCGCGGCTGCRCTGGTAAAAGTTGTTAACCTGGTGGTGGAAGGGATCGGCGTGGTAGAGGAGGACATTGTAGGGGGCGGTACTGCGGTTGTGACAGGGTGAAACTCTGTCACCAGAGTGGGAGGGTTGATGGTGGTAGTGGGGAAGGTTTCTGTAAAACAGGTACAAGATCAGAATGTCCACTTGTTTTCCCAGACACAAACTTGTCAGCGGTGAGAACTGCTTCTTACCAAGAGGCGTGATACAGATGCTGCTGGGGTCGGGCTGCAGCCGCAGGCGATCGTTATGGTCGTAGGAATTTGTAAGGTTTAAGTAGATCTCATCCTGGGCAGCTGCCACATCCAATTTGGGGATTATATTTATGTGAACCAGGAGGCGAAATCTGCATGGGAACAAAAACGAAAAGCTGAGATTTTTCTTTTTACAGTATTTCCTTTCATACATGGCAGCTATTGATCTGTACATCACACATTGGGGCTTCATTTAGAAGTTTTACGAAGAAAACTACACTTTGCTGTTTTTTGCTGCCTGTTTTGCAGTGTTCTTTTATTTTACACATGGCTGGCCACACTCTTTAATACCATTTCTCCTACATCACCAATAATCTACTCTATTCAATAATTTATTCTCTTTTGTTGTAATACGTTCATTTTTATTATAAATTCTGTAATCATTTGATTGTTTACTGGCTTAAGCAGAAATATTAGAGTTATTTTCTGATTTTATTTGACAATATTGTCTGTTTTACTAATAAACTAATTGTAGCAGACAAATTTACTGGTGCCAAAACCTTTCATACAACGCACATAATTTAAATATATATATGTACGTGTATTTTTCGCTTCCCTCCAGCAGTGTAAATTATGACTTTATAATGAACTAACACAGGAAGAAACCTTTAGAAAAATATATTTTTGTTACCTGCTGATGTGTTCAGGAGCCCAACGCTTCTAAAAAACATAAAAGGGGGGAAAAAGCCCACAAATGTCAGTATTTTTTTTTTTTGAAAATTTTCATTTTAAAGGTTGAAATACCATAAGCTATCAATGTGTCCATTTTGGATTGGAGGTATTTAAGTAAACAGATTCCTGTTTCATTTGTTTCTCATCAACATGTGCAATAGAACAGTCATATTTGCTTTAAGCAAGCAGCTGCCCGTTTCGTCTGTCAACCCAGCTGCTATGTGCTTACCAGTCTGTCTTTAGACAAAGCTTTCATGTGGTCCTCAGTGCTGAATCTGCATGAGAGATCAGAGGAACTCAGTTTACGGTTCATTAGCTGTACCTCTCTGATGTAGGTTTAGTTGATCTAGTACAAGTGATTTTTATGACAAATTATACACAGTCTTCACAGTAAACTGATTTTTTTCCCCCATACCTGCTTACTTCAAACACAGACACTATGTGTAAATAGATGCTGGCACGTAGAACCTTACTGAGCTGTAGGAACAACAAACATCAGAGAAAAGGTATTGCAATCACTGAGATTCTCCACAGGTGAACTACAACAAGATATTACTATTTTCAACTCCAATTCCAATGAAGTTGGGATGTTGTATAAAACAAAAAAACAGAACACAAAGATTTGCAAATCCTTTTCATCCTATATTCAATTGAATGCAGAACAGAAACAAGCTAATGTTCTAACTGATAAACTTTTTTTTTCAAATAATCATTTTAAATTTGATGCCTGCAACACCTTTAAAAAAACCTGAAACACACTGTAAAAAATGAACAGGCATGTTTACCATTGTGTTACATTATCTTTCCTTTTAAAAACACACAATAAGTGTTTGAGCGACTCGTTGAAGCTTTGTAGGTGGAGTACAACTTCAGTTGCTCAACAGTCCGGGGTCTCCATTGTTGTATTTTGCATTCTACAGGTGAACAGCTTCATTGGAAACAAGTGAGTGTCATGAYTGGGTAAAAAGGGAGCATACCCGAAAGGCTCAGTCATTCACAAGCAACACTGCGGCAAAAAGAAACATTTCTCAACATACAGCRGGCAAAATAAGTATTGAAGACGTCACCATTTTTCTCAGTAAATAAATTACTAGAGGTGCTAATGACATGAAATTTTCACCAGATGTTGGTAACAACCCAAGTGATCCATACATACAAAGAAATCAAACCATAAATGTCCAGAAATGAAGTTATTTGTAATAATGTGGAATGGCACAGGGAAAACGTATTGAACACACTTACTGAAATTTATCTAATACTTTGTACAAAAGCCTTTGTTGTCAATGACAGCTTCAAGACGCCTCCTGTATGGAGAAACTAGTGGCATGCATTGCTCAGGTGTGATTTTGGCCCATTCTTCCACACAAACAGTCTTCAAATCTTGAAGCTTTCGTGGACCTCTTCTATGAACTCTGATCTTTAGTTCTTTCCATAGATTTTCTGTTGGATTCAGGTCAGGTGATTGGCTGGGCCATTCCAGCAGCTTTAGTTTCTTTCTCTGAAACCAACTGAGAGTTTCCTTGGCTTTGTGTTTGGGCTCATTGTCTTGCTGAAATGTCCAGCCACGTTTCATCTTCATCATCCTGGTAGATGGAAGCAGATTTTTATCAAGAATGTCTCTGTACATTTTTCCACTCATCCTTCCTTCAATTATTTGAAGTTTGCCAGTACCATATGCTGAAAAACAGCCCCACACCATGATGTTCCCACCTCCAAACTTCACTGTTGGTATGGTGTTTTTGGGCTTTTGGACCAGACTATATTCTCCCAGTATTACACAGGCTTGTTTAAATGTTGTGCAGCAAACTTTAAAGGAGCTTCAACATGCTGTTTCTTCAGCAGTGGAGTCTTGCGTGGTGAGCGTGCATACAGGCCATGGTGGTTCAGTGCATTACTTATTGTTTTCTTTGAAACAATCGTACCTGCTAATTCCAGGTCTTTCTGAAGCTCTCCACAAGTGGTCCTTGGCTCTTGGACAACTCTTCTGATAATTATTTTCACTCCTCTGTCAGAAATCTTGTGAGGAGCACCTGGTCGTGGTCGGTTTATGGTGAAATAATGTTCTTTCCACTTCTGAATTTGGCCCCAACAGTGCTCACTGGAACCTTCAGAAGTTTAGACATTCTTCTGTAACCGATGCATCATTATGCTTTGCAACAATAAGGTTGTGAAGGTCTTGAGAGATTTCTTTACTTTTACCCATCATCAGATGGTTCTTGTGTGATACCTGGYCATCATTTGGGACTGAACCAGCTGATATTAACTTGCACTGACAAGGGGCAGGCTTGCTTTCTAATTACTGAGAGAGTTCAGCTGGTGTCTTGGCTTTCCATGCCTTTTTACACCTCCCTTTCTTCATGTGTTCAATACTTTTTCCCTGTGCCATTCCACATTATTACAAATAACTTMATTTCTGGACATTTATGGTTTGATTTCTTTGTATGTATGGATCACTTGGGTTGTTACCGACATCTGGTGAAAATTTCATGTCATTAGCACCTCTAGTAATATATTTACTGTGAAAAATGGTGACGTGTTCAATACTTATTTTACCCCCTGTACAATTGCAAAGAATTTATGGATTGCATCATCTACAGTCCATAATATCATTAAACGATTCAGCCCAAAAACCAACATTAAATCCCTGTGACCTTCTCTCCCTCAGGCAGCTCTGCATTAAAAACCAACATCATTCTGTAACGCAGGGATAGTTAAGCCACGTCTTTTTCAGAGATGTCCCTGTTACAAAGCCACATTCTGCGCGTGTTCCAACAATGTGGGTACTAGACTGGCCTGCCTGCAGTCCAGATCTGTCTCCCATTGAAAATGTGTGGCATATTATGAAGCACAAAATACAACGGAGACTGAAGTTGTTCATCAAGCAAGTATGGGAAAGAATCCCACCAACAAAGCTTCAACAGTTAGTTGCAAAAGAACAATAAATTGTATTATTTTAAACATTATGTATCTTGTCTTTGCAGTATATTCAATTAAGTATAGGTTCAAAAGGGTTTGTAAATCATTGTATTCTGTTATTTGTTGTACACAACATCCCAACTTCATTAGAACCAGAGTTGAATTAATTACCAAACTCATTCAAACTATGAATTAATTTGTAACTTATTATAGGCCTACATGCACTGTTGTATGAGTCAGAACAGATTTGACCTCAGTTTGTTCTTTTTTTTTCCTTTTTAAAGCTTTAAAAATACAATTAGTAGATGAAAAACTCAGGTCAGGTTTGACTTAAATCACATTGGTTCATTTTACCCAGCTGTGTGCGATGTCTCTGGCCACGTAGACTGCGGTGTGGTTGTCGTCATCACTCATAATCACAAACAGCAGGTTCACTTTATATATGGACCATTCTACCAAAACATAAACCACTGTTATTTATAAATGCTTCAGAATTTAATACTGATATCAGAGATGCCTCTCAGCTAACACCACACCAAACCTTTTTAACTCACCGCACCACAGGCTGGTATCAGAAACTGGACTACAGTAGGAGGTGTCCCAGTATTCCATCTCCCATTTAACCAAGTCCCCCTCTGTACATTTCAGTGATGTCACTTCCTGTTTGCTGCGCTCTTGCCCCCACATGCGAAATAAGGATAATTTGCCCGTAAAGCGGCTGTATGGAATGATCTGAATATTTCCATCCACTAGATAGTGTCCTGCACCCAGAGTGAGCGATCCATTTGGGGACAGGTTGCAGCATGGAGGGCTAATAAAAGGTTGACCGGTGTCATGTTCTAGGAGGGACAGAGAAGAGGTTTAAAACCAAATCAAATGATAAATAATTATGCAGACAGCAAAAATACCCTTAGCTGATAGTCTAAGGCTGAAGAGGGTAACTGTGAAAGTTTAAATATAAACTGAGATGCTCAGAAATGCTTTAAACCAACCTGTTGTGATGTGAATTGAGCTTCCATTAATGTACAGGGCGGGTTTATTATTTTGTTGAGACCAGGTGAGACACATCGAATGCCACTGGGACAGCTGGAGGTTAATCGGTGGGGTTTTCCATTCCACGCCAAACAACCAAACCACCAAACTCCCCCCTTTTCCTCCCAAACCAAGCTCAGCAAACTGAGCTTTTGGATGGCGGTACATAAAAATTGTCCACGGTGAGTGAGTCTCAACCTAATGATTGTTGAAACCATGCAGTTACAGTTTGTTTCACAATTATAGAAGATCTGGAAGTAGTACTTCCTTTTTAATACCTCAAACATTGTGTGGAAGCAGACGGTGACCTCATGCAGGGCAGGAATTAAGACCTGAGGCTTCAGTCTCCAGTGGCTGCAGTCATTGGCGAAAGGAGCCGCCTCTCCCCACAAACTGAGACAAGGCACTGTCACAGGTATAGTTTTAAAAGACAGAGTTGTAAAGTAACTAAGCACAAATACTTTTTTACTGTACTTAAGTAGAAATTTGGTTATCTGTACTTTACTTAATCGTTTTTCAGTGTATTTTTTACTTTTACTCATTACATTTTTACACAATAATCTGTACTTTCTACTCACTACATTTTTTAAAAAGGTAAGAAGTAGAAAGTCGTTACTCGTAATTTATTCCTGATAAATTGTGTCTCCTGGATAGAGGGAATTTAATTGCGGTTGGATGAGAAGTATAAATATATACCATTCTGGCACCATATTACTTTGTACACAACCCATCACAGCTGTACGCTGTTATAAAAAAATGTTTTTTGGAGAAGTCACCTCCCAATAAATGTCATTTTGGAAAATCTAACTGCTCACTTTTACTCAGTACTTTTACTTTTAATACTTAAGTACAAAAAATATCAGATACTTTAAGACTTTTACTCAAGTAATATTTTTAGAGAAGACTTTAACTTTTACCAAAGTATTTTTATGATAAGATACTATGTAAGTCAAGTATCACTTTGAGGTACTTTATACAACACTGTTAAAAGATCATTTTAGCTGCAAGAAAGTAACTTTAAGGGAGCCTAAGTTGTGTTTGCTGGAGACAAAAGTTTTTCTTAAGAGAATACATAAAAATAACTTTCTGCTCTTAAAAAACTGCATCAAAAACTTATTTTTAACCAGTTTTAACTAAATAGCACCATAATTTACAATATAAATGTTTTTTTTTTTTTTTTACTTTTGTAATGTTGGCTAACCAAACTAATGATCTGATGCTGAACTGAATCAAACACCTGTGAGCCTGTACATGGTTTATTCCTCTGATTATTCTCATATAGTTTGTGGATAATTAAATGTATTTTTTAGTAAATCAAGTAGTTTGAATTTGTTAATAGTCTATAGAAGAATGCCTGTACTTGTGGGGGTTAAAAGAAACTGTGTTAACTTTTAATTAATCTCAAAAGGTTTGAAAGATTTTTTCTTATTAAGGCTTACTTTATATGGTAAAACAGGGATTTTACAAGTGTTATGTTTCAGATTTAATTGTTTAAACTCATTGAATATAAAAACTGGAAGATGGAACATCAGCACTTTATGCTGTTTTTCATTTCCCATTTACAAGGCTTCTGTTGTTGTTTTTTAAACACAAAATAAAAAATTTCTCACCCTCGCTTTCTGCCAAAAGGCACAAAAAAAAAAAAAAACTGCCAAAAGAAATAAAATGAATCCTCTTCCCTTTGTTTTGCAGGAATATTTTAATGTTTTGTTTGAGTCAGATAGCATTTTTAATGTTCTCACAGCCCATCTTATTGTCTTCCTCTTTTTTACATTGTGTGATGTTTGTTTTAGATACTTTTGACATTTTTACAACCCACACTGGAACTTTCTCACGCAGGTTGTGATCCTAAACATAATAAATTTAAACGTGAAAGTTTGCGGTGATAATGTTAAAATATTGTAGTTATTTTTGTTTGTTTGATTTATTTTACAACAGAAAATATGCAGAAATATAAAATGAAGTTTTTCTCCTTTTCATGTTTCCTACCTTGCCCCTTAGCAGAACCTGGACTTGTCAGCAAAGACAGAGTCATCAAGACTTTCAAGAATTTTTGAAAGAAAATCATCACAAATCTGAGAAAAGAATGTAAAGTTTCTCCAGTTAGAGATTTTATATGAATAAACAGCATAAATTAAACTTAAAAATTACATTTTCTTGTTAAAAGAAACTCTAGAATATTTAATCCAATGTAGGATTTAAAATTTTCTATTTCATTTGTGTCCTGTTTTACAAATAAAGAAGCTCTTACCTTTTAAAGGAAAACAAAACAAAACAAAAAAAAAACAAGAAAGTCAAAGAATCTTGGAAGTGATCGAGCTCCAGAGTTCAGAAGCGGTGACTGTAAAGTGGTGTCTGGCTGTGATTGCACAACTTTTATGTGCAGAGAACACAAGGAGACAAGAGGAGCGCGCGCAAATATTGCATTTCGTTTTATGCGTGCACTATATTCGGGTAAAATAAATTTACTGCCACAAAAAGGCATAAAGTGTAATTAGTTCTGCCAAACCTGGACGGTTTTGTGCAAACATCAGCTGTACGCTTTGTGTTTTATCACCTCTTAAAGTCACACACAGACACTTTGGAGCTCAGCCGGCTTTTCTCCTGCGCCTAACTCTAGATTCAACATGATAAAGTCTCACATGTCAACATGAAACCTGGTAAAACAAAGACAAAAATCTTTTGTTTGGTGCAGAAAGTTTATTTCGTTTTACTGCAATGACAAACCATGCGGCGAATATTTTAATGTCACAATTATTTTTCTTTTTGTGGAGAGAAAAAGGATTAGAAAAGTGCATAAAGTTTTACAGATCAAATATATTTTGGTAAATAATTTATTTAAAATAATGATAATTTAATCCTGGAATGATATTGCTTTAAAAATAAAAGGAAAAAGACAGGCACTAAGGTGATTATAACAGTAATACAATTTAAAACACTTTATTTTAGCTTCGTGCATCATTAAAAACATGAACTTTAAAAATATATAAAACAAGTTCTCAGTTATTTGAACGCATCAACAACTTGAGTCGCTGCAGATCAAATCGTTTTTAGACCAGCTTTACAAAAACAGACAGAAGAATGAAACTGACACAACCTGTGGATTTATTTCAGCAGCAAATACCCAACCAAGTTTATCTCTGTTACTTGGGGAAACTTGCCATTTGTTGCATAGTTCTTATTTTTATTCATGTATTTTATGTGACTGAAGAAAAACCTTCACAAGTTGCTTCAATATATAAGAGATGTTATTTCAGCTCATTGTACATTACAAGTATGATGTGGTAGAAATAACACCCTCAGTAAACACCACAGAAATTATATTGAAATGTAGGCACGGTCCTTTTTTGTAAAAACACTAAAAAGCTAGAAAGCTGGATTATTCTTATTGTTTCGTTTGATTCAACACATCAGTCCTTGTCGTCACAGTCAGAGCAGAGGATGTCTCTTCCTTTGGTCACAAATCGTTTGTTGGCCAGATTGAGGGAGCATCTCTTGCAGTTGAAGCAGTATTCGTGCCACGAGCCGCCCTCAAAGTTCACAACATTCACACCTTTACCAAAACCTGGAAGAAGAGCAGAGTTAGAGATGAAGCTTTAAAGTCACAGTGATGCTAAAACACTACGCTCATAAAAACACAAGTCATCCTGTCCTGGAAAATATTTCATATTCTTGTAGTTTTGAGTTAAGTGTGGTAAAATCCTATAATTGTTTTCTGTGTCTCACTGTTGTTCATATTTTATGGCAAACAGAGACCTTTGTGTTTTTATATTAGGGTTCAGGTGGCTGCAGTTTACATTTTGACCTCTAGATGTCACTAAAACCAACAAGTTGAAATTTGACCAGGTTCAGTTTTATTTTTATTTTTTCCCCTCTAGCGTTTCACCCACAAAAAATAGTTGCAGAGACTTAGGAGCCCAACCATTGCTTGTTGAAGTGTACTAATATTGCTAAAAAGCCATCCAATGAGCAACCTCATCAACCAGTATTTTATTTATTTATTTATCTTTATCTTTTCATGACTTCTGTTTTTATCTCTTTGATACAGCTGAGGCTGAATATGGTTTTGGATTCTTTTTTTAAAAAGGTATTTTAATTTTGTTAGATTTTCTTAAGACTCCCCACATAATGTTTCATGATGCACTCCAGCTTGAGGCATCACCTCTGTGCAGTAGAACCCCTTATCAGTTGTTTGGATTTGGGTTCAAGTTTACACAGTTTAATATACCGTAGGTTAAAAAAAAGTACTTTATTAGTACATTTATGTTTGTGATGATACTATGCATTTTGTTACATATTCAAATAGTTTGGGGAGGAGCAAATTTCCAGTTTTTATTTTAAGCTAAGTTATTAATCTGTTGCAAGAAGCCTGGCATACAGGAAAATCTGAGGTGGGGATTTTCACATCTAATGGTCCTGGTTCATATACACAGCGCTAACATCCAGGAAAATTAGAGTTTGTAACTTGAAGTAACCTGTGATGGGGTTCTGGCAGCCGCTGCACTTCTTGGCCACAGAGCTCTTGTAACAGTCGACACAGAAGACCTGGTCCTGGTGGTTGGTGAAACTGGTCCCGGCCAGAGGCTTTGAACAGGAGCTGCACACAAAGCAGTGGCTGTGCCACGGCTGCTCCTGGTAGTTCACTCCTCCAGAGGTTATTGGCTTTGGACAGAAACGAGAGCTATTATAAATCCAAACTTAGATTTTGCATTATGGAATAAAATTAGATTCAAAATTAGGTCGAGAAAAAAATGTTATTGTACTTAAAAGTATGCAAAGTGCCTGATCTGGTTCTCTTTTTTAAAACCAAATACCTTTTTGCAGCTGACGCAATGTTTGGCAAATTTTTCATCATAGCACGGGTTACAGTAAACATCATTTCCTTTGGTGAGGAAACTCTGAGAACCGATGGGTCTTTTACAGCCGCTGCAAGTAAAACACTCGTCGTGCCACGAGTTTCCTTTGTACACAACCGTCTCTGTGCCTGCAGGAGACAAGAAATGAATTAGATAGGACTGAAGATTCAGATATAGACAGCCTTCACCACCAGTTTTCAGAATGATTTGATTCAATGCAGTAAAACTGCAGTTTGTGGGGTTAGAACTTCAAAACTGTGATGGGTTTCAGAGTTAAACTTTTTCAAATTATCTCAAATTTGCAGACACTGACTATTGGGCCAAAAGTGTAATGGTACAAAGCTGGGCATTGCGGGTTCTGGTCGTACCCGCTGGAATGGATTTGTAGCAGCCATGGCAGCGCGGAGCATCCTCTCTYGAGCAACACTTCACACACATGATACGGTCATCCTTGGTGTTGAACGGCTCCTTGGCCAGAGGCTTGTAACACTTGGTGCAACGGAAACACTCTTCATGCCAGGAGCGTCCTTTGTGGCTCAGCTCCTGACGGAAGAGAGGAGATCCTTCAGGGGAACGTTGATGGTGAACAGACTGCAGAGGATGCTGCACAAATGAAACTTTTTAACATTAAACTCACCTTGGTCTCCACAGCGATGGGTCGACGGCACTCGGCGCAGGTGTTGGCGCAAAACTTGGTGTGGCAGCGAACGCAGACGGGCTTTCCCTCGCTGCGAACAAACCTCTTCCCTCCCAGATCCTCCCGGCAGTAGAAACACTGAGAGCTGTCTGCCATCGTCACATCAAGGCAGACGCACACCTGCAGAAAGACGACTTCAAATRAGCTTGTTTAAAAATAGGACATTGGCCAAAAATTATCACTCATCATAATTAACCACTCAACTAAATGTCATTTAATGTTATTTTAGAAGGTTGCATTTTCCAACTTTGAAAAGGTTATCCAAAGCCATCACATAGGGGCGCTGTTGACATGTTTTGCAAAAGAAACCGCGTCCCAAATATCAAGATGAAGCCATATTACGCCAAACTTTAATTAAAATGTTCAGAAAACGTCTTGCTTGTATTTTATCGTTATAAATCCACCGACTTGGATTTTCAATAAAGAGTATTTAAAAAGCACTTAAAAACCACCTACGCAGAGAACCAAAATCACCATGTTGAGCACCATAACTCTGATCAGAGTTGTGATTACAGGGTTAAGACTTGAGATTATAAATTATAAACACGTTGTAGTAAAAAAAAATCGCAGCTACAAAAGAAATAAAAAGATGTGGAGGAAGAGATGGTGGCAGCCTGTTCACACAATAATTTCCCACATTTAGGTCACAGTGGCCGGCTCGAMGGAATTCTCCAACATGGCTGCAGGACAGCCGTGTTTGTGTTGACACAGTGAGGGGAACACATGAAGGAATGCCCGGGATGATGAGTGTGGCAAGATCTGGAATGGCCATAGCTCTTTGATCGAGTCTGTACACACACACACCACATCTTACACAAACTACTCCCTTTTAAAACCACAAACTATAGAGTTCTGGATTTGGTCAAAGACAAACCACAAGCTAGCCTCGAGTTGGCAAATGGTTAAACCAAATCTTGAGGGCAAAAATTCCACATTCGTTTTTAGATTGAAGCACCAACCGAGCTGTTGTGATGACGTGAACAGATGAATGCTGTTATATTTCTGAGTGAGGCATCTAATTTGTCAGGTGGTTGATTATCTTAAGCACAACAGAGTCTAGATTTAAACCCTGATAAAAGTTAGGCTTTATAGCATGAAAGAAAATCAAGATACAGCAGTTCTTTTGGCAGGTCATGAAAAGTCAGCATACGTGTGGAAGCAGCTCTTTGTGCAATAGTGTCATTAGCTAAGTTTTCCTGTTGAGTAATCACCCAAGTAATGTTTAAACAGTCACACCAGCGTGTCACACAAAATTACTAATGTGTGTTTTAGATGGTGCAAGGCAAAATTAATGTGGTTGCCAAAGTCCTCAGAGTTCATATGAAGATCATTTTGTTCACACTGCAGACAAACAGCTACACAAGGCTCTTAGACCAGGGGTTCTCAAACCTTTTGGGTCTGGAGACCCCTTACAACAGCGATAAAAATTCCAGGGACCCCCCTCATAAACCCCTTGCTGTTTTAAAAGATAATTTATTGTCAATTCAACTCCTAAATGCCATGGGAATATATATTTTTATTTAGCTTGTTATGTTTGATTTATTAGTTCAATGTTATTCATGCATTTTTTAAATAAAAACCAAATTAACAATTTAGTGACATTTTTTGAGGACCCCCAAGATAACTCTCGCGGACACTGGGACCCCAGTTTGAGAACCTCTGTCTTAGACCATTCAGTTTTACAGTACTTACTATATCCTGTACTGGTATGTGATTATATATGTATTGCCCAAAGCATTTGGTGATCTCACTTGCCTCCATATTGTGTCTTAGATCAGTGGTTCCCAACATTTTTTAAACTTGTGTACCCCCTGAACCATTTTGCCATACCCCTAGTACCCCCTCAGTCAAACGTAATGATGATTCTCCAAAACTATTATGTGCTACAACTGATTATTAAAAGAAAATTTCTATTTAATCCCCTTAACTAGAACATTTAATTCTCAGGCATTTTATTCTTKTAAACTCAAATTAAACAAAGATAAATATGTTGACTTGAAAATGAATAAGTWATTAAATGAATAAAGCAGGTAATGGCAGGTACAGGAAGCAGCAGCGTCCAAAATACATCAGAAACTCTTCCAAATTAGCAAATTCCACAATATTCTGCTTTTTATACAGGATTATATTCTGTTTAGTCAATTCTGCAATTCTGTCTGCATTTTCCACATTGTGAAAATTATAAGGCCCTACATACAGTATCTCAGTCCTATTTTTATACATTTTTTTACAGACTTGGAAAATTTTTYC